GTACAAGACAAAGAGAAGAAGTAAAAGAGAGTGAAAACAAGAACCTTATAGAAATTGTAAGAAATGGGATTAGATATGGGATGCAGTGGTTGGGGTTTTGATCCTTGTCAGAACATTGTATAGTGATACGTAGTAGTGACCTGCAGGCAATGATATTAGAAGTAGGAAGGGTTTTCACCTGAACTATTAGCGGAGCAATAAATCCCTCCCAAAGTTGCACTTAGAGTCTTAGATAAATATAAGACTTTGACGAGTGATTTAGTTAGAGAATTAGCTTTGGCGTCACATGTATAATGTACAGCTTACAATTGTTTAATAAAGCACATATAACTAGCATGACAGAGGGTTATAATAAAAAAAATAAATAAATAAAAATAAATAAATATTGATTTTTATTTCTGAATACTTTATATATAGATTCTTCTTATACAATATATCTTTGAATTTTTATTATATAATTTGTTGAAAATAAGGAATTTGTTATTCCAAAAATTGATTGCGAATTTTCTGTTATATTAATTTTGATAAGATATTATATTATGATTTATATTACTAAGATTTATAAATTGAAATGTTTTTATTAGTTTATAATTGAATTTTGAATTTAATTAATTTATTCTTTATTTCTTTTAAGTAGTTTTTATTGTACTAAGTATTTGATATAAAAAATTTGTTTATAAAAAATTATTATAGATGTATTTATAATATATATATATATATATTTTTTGAAAGAATAATGAAGCCCAGTCTATTGAAGTTGATAGGACAGCCCTTATATATGATATAGTTGCTAATTACAGAGCAATTCTATAATCAAGCTTTATATTAACCAATGTACCTTAGTCCACCCTACCATTATATCTAATAAACCTGATTGTAACACCTTGTGTACTCCTATGGCTTATTGCCAAAAGAAACCCTACTACCCTACTATCTGTATCTATATTATCCTTCCCTGACCCTCATATCTACAAGCCCGGGTCTGTAACACAGGATCCCTTTCATATCTCGTCCTATCGAATATTCTTTTTACAGTACTTATTACAGTATGCTTACGAAATATCCACATGGAGTCTCAAATGTCATCTCGTCCCACTGAAGCACTCTTTTTATATGATCTATTACAGCCTACCTATGGAGTGACCACGTGGAGTCTTGGATAGATGTTGATTTTGGTAGAGACCCTTTTCTAACTAACGTGCCTAGGCTCCGCTAGCTTCCTTGATTTTACGGCATGCAGATCTTCAACCTATCTGCAGGAGCTTAAAAGAACCTGTCTTGTGACGAAGTGACTTCAGCACTAAAACCAGCTGAAGCATCTTGTTATCTTTGAATACCTCGTGATCGGACAGGGTCTTAACTAAAGGTGGTTAGATCATTATTATAGAATGGATGGGATCTTCTTGTATCACCTAGGCTTAAGTGGTACTGCCTCGCAGTGATATTGAACTCGGAAACAGTACTTGGTGACCTGGAAGTGTTACCACTATGCTATTAATCCACAGGTCTATATATTTATAATATTGTCTCTCTATATTTTTATAATATAAATATGTATAATATTTAAAAAAAAGATATATTAATCTAGAACTAGATTTCATATTAAAATAGTTATACTAATTAAAATTATGTTATTCAGTAATTGAATTATTGTCAAATTTGATTAAATTTAATAATAAAATATTTTCAAATTCTTTTTTATTGTTGCTACTTGGTATATTACTATTTTAACAATAAAATATCAATAAAAAATTTAGTAGTAAAAAATTTAGTAATTAAAAAATTCAGCAATAAAAAATTTATTAATTAAAAGTTTAACAATAAATTGTCAAAAAATTCATTAACAATTTATCAAATAATTTATTGACTATTCAATAAAATTCATTAATATTAAAAATTTTTTAACTATTCACTAAAAAATCTACAATTATTTATCAAAACTATTCATTAAAAGTTTATTAATTATTTATTAAAATTTGACAACTATTTATCTATTATTTATCAAAAATTTATAAAATATATAAAAAAAATTATTTATATTTATAAATTATTTGTTATTATTTACATAATAATACATAATAAATTAAATTATAATAAGATAAATTATATATTATATATTATATTATAGTTTATTTTATTTATAATTTATAAATATGTACATAAGTTTAGCTAAAAATTTATAATTATCTATAGATAAACTAATTAGGAGGATCAGGCCAAAGATTGGCATATGCACAACCTAAAGTTTCATCAGGTGGATTCCCTATTACAGCGTAGATGTCATAGGCATCGGGAAATTGTGGGATTACAAGTGAAATAAATACACTAAATTGTGTCCCAGCTTTAATTGGACATCGGGGCAGGCCGTTTTCTCCGCAGGTAGGTGTTGAAAAGGTATGTACATTGTTTGTATTATCGTCATCGATAAATATCATATAAAGTTGGTCGTTTGCTTCAATATCTGTTGGAAGAGGTCCAGAAACTGTAAAATTATCTTGTTGACCTTCGACGGGATCAATTGGCGTTTCCACATTGAGTCGTGGAAAGGTGCCAGCACTAGTGAAACATGTGCCCCATTCAATATTAGAATTTCTTTTATCAAGTTGATGCGGCAAAGAATTGACCGCGGAAAGCGTGGCAAATAAAAGGAATACAAAAATGAAATTTCGATTCATGATTTTGAAAATTTAATTATTAAAGTTCGTCTTATTTATAAAATGAAAAATTTTTTTTGCTGATCACTAACTCAACCGTTCGCTTCCATACAAAATTTCGGACTACCATATAATCACAAATTTTTAATATTTAGTGACGATCGCGCCATAGGAAAAAGGTCATTGATAACTTATTATTCTATATCTTGCGTAACATTACATTGTAGTCCTCGCTATTCCAACGCTTGCACCTAGTGCGTTTAATAAATGGGCTCATTCACGTTTCTTGAAATAATAAAAGTTTGTGAACTTGAAATAGTCGCTTCGCGTGATTTGACCAGAATTCTTAATGGTGGTAAAATTTATATTTTTCCTTATAATAAAAATTATAATTAACCGATATACAGTATATAACCTTTATAATATATATTTAATTAAACTTTATAAGAATAAATATTTAAAAATCTTCAAGTATTTTTTATTTACCTAGCATAAAATATTTTAATAGATATAAAGTTAATAATTTGATAATATTTTGAGTAAGTAAAGTAAGGGTTTTTGTTTATTGAAAATTTAAAAATAAGTAAATTCCATCAATTTTCTCAAGATTTTATTAAAATAAGTAACATAAAAAATACCTCAAGCCTTGTAATTTTGGATAATATTAAATTAATCGGTTTACTTATTTCATGTTTTAAAAAATTGGATTTAAATAAGAATTAATATGGTAAAAATATAAATAGCTTGTTAAATTCAATATATTTTTTTTAATAGTTGCATAATAAAAAGTTTTTAATCTAATTTATCATAAATGCACTATGAACTTTTCTATTTTAATAATATCCAAGATCTTTATTTTCTAGTTTAAAATAACTTAATTTGGTATAATACTCAAATAAAAATCAATTAATAAAGACTATTTAATATTACTGATAGTGCAAAAAAAACAAAAACTTTTTTTTTAAGATTTGAGCAAATGATGTCTATAAGAAATATTGAAAATATAATGATTTTTATTAGATATATATACTAATAAAACTAAATTAATAAAATAATAAAAACTTGTAAAGCTCAATATTAATTAGCTTATTAACTATTAAATCTCTAATTAAATCTATTTACTTAATAAATAATAATAGATTTTACTAGAACAAATTATAATAGGTTGTTATTAATCTGTATCTATATAAAAATATATATTATATAAAAAATAGTTAATATAATATTAGAGGATTTATTATCTATAAAATTTTAAGTTAATTATTAATAAAGAATTCATATATAATATTAGTTGTAGTTTAATATAAAAAAATTTTTTTTAAACTAATTTATTTTGTAAAAAATTTAATATTATTTTTTTAAAAAAAATTATTAATAATAAAATTTCTAATTTTAATTTTTTTTTCTGAAAAACTATAAATAATAATAACTTTAAATTTTAAAAATTTTTTTTGATTTTTTAATAATATATAATTCTATTTTTTTTGTTTTATTTTTTATATAGAATAAAAGTTTAACTTTATTTATTAATTTTAATAAAATAATTTACAAATTTAATTGTAATAATTATATATTGTTATGGGTCACGTGGGTGACACGATTTACATGTAATGGTTTAGAATCCAAAAACCTGAAAGTCTGGTATAAAAGATTAAGTATTGCAAGGTAAGAAACTATAGATAAGGCTTGGGTACTAATAAGAGAACTATGTGTAATTGAAAAGTATAGAAAGTTTAGCAAAGCTTAGGGTTAGTATAGCCGATTATAAAGTAGATAGTCATTGTTAGATAGAAAAGTATAAATAACTTACCAATGTATGTCTAAAAGGCAGAGAGCTGAATGTGTTAGGAAAACAGCCCTCCTTGAGAATAGAAATAAAAATTAATGAGATACCAAAGAAACAGAACGCAATAAAGAGACACTTACCTTTGGCCAAGTCAATCACCATACCTCTGCCTTCCCTAAGTGTTCTTTATAGGAGGCGTTCTCTTCTTTGTGAGTATTCGTAAGATGACTGGGTTACGCGAGGCACTACGGTTTAGTGACAGACTCGCCGGTTTAGCCCACGACAATATATGTATTATTTTATATTACAAATATTCTCAAAACTCTATTTATAAAAAATTTATTAGACTGTTTATTATCCAGAAGTATTCGGATGGATTAAATTCTATTATTACCTATTTAAAAAATCTAGATATTACTATTTTTTAATCTTCAATTTTTTGAATTTCTTTTAAACAACTTGTTATAATTTGATTTGCTAATTCCTTAAAAAGAAAAATATATTTTTTAAATAGTTCTTAATAAATATAATTCAATTATTAATTTTGTACTTTTTTTAAAATAATCTATATTTATTTTATATAATTGTATTTTTATAGAATAAAAATCTATTTAAAATTTGAAATAGAAAAATTCTATTTATATATAATTAAAATAAAAATAATAATATATTTATATATTTATTGCATTTATATCATAAAAAGTTTTTTTATTTCATAAATTTTCATATAATCTATATATGATATTATACTCTGAATTTTGTAATTGTGATCTAAAAATAGTATTACTATATTCTAAATCTATAAATTTTTTGTATTTATTATTATTATTATTTTTTTAAATCCTTTATCAGACTAGACATATAAATTTTATTAAATAGTTATATATTTTATACTATAAAATACTATATATTATTAATACTAAATCTTTTCCTAACTTACTTATCTCTATTTTGAAATTTATCAAAATTCTAAATATAACTTTATAAATAATTTATTACTTTATTAGTAATTCAGATAAAGATTCATCCAATTAATAACTTTATTATATTCAGATTACTATTGCAGATTGCTCTATAATATTCTAATTGAGTTCAAATCCAATTACTTTATTCTATATTTTTTTTTTTATTAAAATTTTTTGCAGATTAGATTTTTTCTTTTGATAGTAATTTTCTTTTCTTTAAGAATATAGTTTTTTGACCTGAATAGTATGGAGATCTTTTTGTTTTGTCTGCTTTACAAATTTTTGCATTTGTTCCCATTTAATTACTTTCTTATATTTCTTGTCCCAGATTCTTTTTCAAACTTAATTGCAAACTCTTTTTTGTATTTTTATTATCAAATTTTTTTATTTTTCTTTCTATACATTTTTCATAATATTTTAAATTTACTATTTCTAGAAAGAGATTCTTTTTATAAAGTTAGTGCAAAAACTTAAATACCTTAACTAGTATTAGAAATCTATTCTATTAGTCGAGAGATTCACTTATTGAGCTTTTCTAATTTTTTTTAAATATTAATAATTAGCCTAATATTTTTTTTTATTCTCTCTTTTTCTTTTTTATAAAAACTTTTTGAAATTTCTAATAATTTTATTTACTTCTTTATTCTATACTACTTATAATTGGTTCTTATAATTTGAGCATTCTAATAAATATTCTATAGTTTCTACTTGTTAATTACATGTATATATAATATATTTTGTTTTTTTATATATAGTTGTATTTAAAAATTTAAGTCCACTTGCTGTTTTTATTATAAATTTCAACTTGACAATTTTTAAATCCTTAATTATACAATCAAAATTATAAAATTTATATATATTATATTCTAATATTAATTTTATTTATTATATTTTTTTTACTTTTTTCTAAAAAAAATTTTTTTTAATAATTTTTTGAAAAAAGTGAACCAGTCTAAACATACAAGAAAAAAATACAAACCTCTAGACCAAGCTATTAAGTACTTACAATATACTCAACATATATATATAAAACTATCCAAAAATATTAAGAATAGAGATATATACTATTTTATTAACTTTTTATTTCTTTTTTTTAAATTTTTTAGAAGAAAAAAAAGAAATCCGAAAACTGATTCAGTCAGAAAAAGGGAGCCAATATTAACATAATATAGCTTATAGCCAGACTAGTGCAGGTCAACATCTTTTAACACTATAAAGAACTTAAAAAGCAACCAAGTCCACTTGATAAATCAAGTTGTTCCAGTTATATTAAGGCTCAAAAGGATATTAAAGCTTCCTAAAGACAAGATAGTCTAAACGTACATATACAGTATATCAAAACAACATATCTATCCATAACCTTGTTATATGAATACAAATATATAAAGCAAGACAAAAAACAAGTATGTATATATACAACTTATTGTCTAAACAAGTTGATTTATTTTTTACATAAATATAACAACAACTTTCAAATTAGAATAGGATTATCGATATAAATAAATAAATAAATAAAACAACACAACAAAATTTTTTGTATTATCTAAACAAATACATATAAATAATAATAATATTAAAAGAGTTTATTCATAGTTTAAATTTAGATTATTTATAAATATAAATAAGAAAAATATATAAAAATATTCAGACTGTTGTCATATAACAAAATAGAATATATATTCAACACCAACAATATTGATACTATAGATATTAATAAATCTAAAGCAATTTTACAAATAGTATAGAATAGAGAAAACAAGATATTAGATATCTTAATTAATATAGCCAGACAGTATAATAAGAAAGATGAAATATGGGCAATACAGCAGTTGCTTCAACAGAAAGAAGAAACAAACATTAATTACAGATACACACCCTTATCAGAAACATTCACAATTATAGATAATATAATCATCAAAATATTAAGAGTAAATAGAGTAATATTTTATAAAGAATATATCCTAATAAAACATATTATATACCTTTGGCAACAAGGTAATAGAAGAGAAGAAAATCTATAACAACAGTTTCTAGAAGATGAATATTTAAATATTGTTAAAGGAAATAATAAACATTAGAAATTGAAACAACAACTCATATAAACAAGTAGAAAGATCTGATAATGGAGAAAATTAGAAAGAAAGTATAAGG